AAAAAAAAAATAAAATAAACAAACTGTACCATATTCACAAGTTAGCAATTCCTCTGGTAAAATGTTTTCTTCTTTTTTAAGATTGACTTACTACAACCAAGTTTAAAATAAGTGAGGTTGAGAAATACTGTGCAATGATTTCAAGGACAGATGCAATTTAACAAGACTAAACACAGAATACAATTGCTTTTCTCACTTGCAAGAGTCCAGCCCCACTCGTCCCCTGTCCAGCATGTCAACAAGACGACCGGGTGTGGCCACCAGAAGATGGCAACCACGATCCAGCTCCTTCAGCTGGCCACCAATGTCAGCTCCACCATACACCACACAAGGTCGCACATATGACCTGTATGAGAACTGTTAAGGTAAAGAAGATTATCTGTCAACATGACCTGTCTCCAAAGTCTTGCGTCTTTCAGTAGAATCCAGAAATGATAGTATTGCGCTTCCTTTACATCTCTTTGAGAACTAGGGTGGAATCACAATTTCTCAAACCCTTATTTTTGCAAACCTCCCGATAACTCAAACCAAAAGTTGTTTTACTCTCCTTTGATGAACACTGTAATTTTACCCCCGATTTCTTGAACTATCTGATTTTTCAAACCAATTTTTGTTTCCCTTGGAGGTTCGAAAAATCGGGATTCCACCTCATTTTCAGTCAAGTGGCCTTAACCTAACAAAACTGTAACTAACAAATGAGACACTTTATATAAGAGAGATGAGAAAACACAATTGACTTGAAAGAAGCAAAATGAGGGTGAACATTTTGTGCTTTGTAAAGACACAGCATTTCTAAAAAAGTCTAGGTAAAGGGTAAAGGTGAAGTCTGCATATGGACCAAGCGGAGCTTATCTCAGTTTCTGTAGCATGAAGCGGCTAGGAATATTTCTATTCCCATCTGGATGGGATGCGAGTCAATTGCAGGGTTACCTCCAGCATTAAGTTTGCCGGTACCCATTTATACACCTGGGTAGAGAGAGGCACTGTGAGAGTAAAGTGTCTTGCCCAAGAACACAACGAAATGTTCCCAGACAGGGCTCGAACCCAGACCGCTCGATCCTGAGATGAGCACACTGACCATGAGGCCACTGTGCCTCCTACAATATCAACAATACTGCTTCTTGTTACATGTTGCTGCATGCTATTAACCTCAATCACTGAGGTTGAAACACTAAGACTTTGCAAATGTACATGTAAATCAAGTCATGTTGGTTACCTTTCTGGATTCATCAAAGATTTGACAGGCCAGTTCCCTAGTGGGTGCCAAAACAAGGCTTATTGGGAACTGCTTTCGGCGAGACTGCTGCCGAGCCTAGTGTCAAAGTGAGAAAATATCATTTTAATACATTGTATGTCTTACTGCAAGGTGACAGGAATGGACTGAACTTTGCTTCGTTAAAAAAGGCACCCCTGTTAATGAAGTAGCCAAATAATAGTATGATAGCTATTATCAATATGGAGTCCACTGAAGAAGAACCTTGACACTGAAAAAGAACTCAGTTTAGAAAAAGTTCACCAGACTACATAATGAATGTATGGAATAAAGGTTGAGAACATCAAATGTGAACAACATAAGCTGATACCATGCTGGCTCTGCACAATTAAAATTTCTTACATCTGGAAGTGGTGGAGGACCTTCCTCAAATATCCTGCTTAGAATAGGAATCAAGAAAGCTGCAGTTTTCCCAGAACCTGGAAAAAAAGTTCACAGTTTCACAGTGATAGCTCATTAATGAGGACAAAGACTGACACTTAATTTCTTGCATGGAATTGTTGTCCCTTGAATGACAAACTTTGACAAATCCACCTTTACATATGGAAGAGTAGTTGATATGATATTAAAGTTTCTGCAAATGGGTTACAAACATAGAAAGTGTAAGCATTCAACAATCAAGAAGTGTACATCTGATGGTGCTCACTAATTGATGTGAAACATTATGCACAGAAAGGATCAACAAAATCACTTTAAGGGAGAACCCTAGGTTTGAAAAATGCAATTTTGAATTAAATATGACAAAATGTGATAGGAAGGTACAGATGAAGCAGACTTACCAGTCTGGGCACAGGCCATCAAGTCCCTCTTGCTCTTCACAATAGGTATAGCATACTTCTGAACTGGAGTAGGTTTGGAGTAGTTGGCCAACTACAATGAAAGTTAAAAGCAGATAAAAAATATTTGATATTAGTAAAAGAAACTGAAGTAATCAAATAGTGCCATAAGGAATGAGCTTTGATGTTCTTGAAGGGAGAAATAGAGGGATGGCGTTGTGGCTAACATGTTGAACTTGGCATAAACATATAAGGTTACATTGGGATTTGCAGTATTGCCATATTGAACAATATTTCTTGCTATATTTCAGTAATTTTAATCTTGAAATGTGGTATTGTGGTCTTCTCCAAACCTGCAGGATGCATTTTTTTAAAGCAATTTGGATGGTCTTAAAAGTAATCTTCCAAGTCCTCCAACATTTTCCGAGCCTTTTCCAGTTTCTGATTGGACATTCCCAAAGAAACTTAGCTCTCATGGTAACAGAAAACCACAATTCCTTGTGTCGCAATAAGAGGGTAAGTTTTCTTTTGTTAATATTATTAGCCAACACGCCAATGGATGTTACTTATTTTGTTTAGTCTGTCAAAAAGTCAAGTCAACAATAACTATGTTGACAGGCTGGTATTAAGTTTCAATGTAATCACACTTGAACCAAGAAGAAAAACCTAATGTACCAGACATGGAAAAATACACACACCTCAACGTTGTGGTGCAAAATTTCCCCAAGGTCACAATCAGAAAACTACAAAAACAAGAAGAGAGTGAGTATTAAATGCACATTCACATGTAACAAAATAATGTGCAAGTAATGTAGAAATCACTAATGTTAACCAGCCACTTCTGAGGTACGATGTGATCTGAATTGTTTCCCAATGGTTGTAGCAATTAGTCTGAAAAACTTATCATATCAGGGCAAGAAAAAATAGGTAAAGAAACCAGACAATGTTTGTTTAAAAATAAATGCTTCACATCTAATTATTATGGAAATGAAAAAACATGAAGAAAACACGGCAGTCTACTTTACCATTTCAACAAAACAGGATGCTTACCAACTCAATGTTTTGGGGAACCTCGTGTCCAGTTGCTTCAACAGGAATATCCTCATACTTATCAAAGTTTATTCCAGTGTTATGCTTGCTGAAAAGCTCCCTGCAAATGCAACATAAACCTTACCACAAAGCTCTTTCAGTTAATTCCACATCAGCTTGGTAAACTGGCCTGTTAGTTATAGTATTTACTTAACTGAGCAGTGCTAACTAAGGGGGTGCGTATTTTAGGACAACATTCACTCTTTAAAAAATCATAACATTTGTAAATGATAACAATCAAAATTATGTTAGTTCACAACCAAATATAGTTACACACTGTATTTCAGATTGAAAAACATTGCCTTTGTTTATTAGCTTGACTTCTTGAACAATTCAGTCTGATGATGCTTCAACTAAGCACCACATGGTGTAAATGAATACAGCACTTATTCCAGGTTGGCATTCTTTGATATTTATGCTCTCACACAGCGTATAGAGTGCTTAATCAGGGACAGTGTTTAAATGGGGGCGGCGCTTAATCAAGTAAATACAGTACACTAGTTGTTACTTATATGTGTAGGTAACAGCACATGAAATTTCTTTTTAGTTGTTTACAACTGCTCTTACTTTTCAATGCGTTCGTTCTTTGGCAATAACTTAGACCAATCCTCTGGTGGTGGTTGTGTATTTCTTCCATAATCTAACATGTAACAAGCAACAAAACTCTTAACAATAAGCCAATCAATAAAAGGACACGTGGGATAAAAAGAAAACATGTGTGATTTTATTAAGTACACAACTGAAAGTTGTCATATCAAATTGTTGTCATTAGAAGATTTTTACTTTTCAGTGTCTCATCTAAAAAAACTCAGGCCCATCAGTTTTAACAGACACACTAAAATATTGCTAACCAAAGTGTGGCTTTACCCCGAGAACACAAAAAACAAACCATCCTTACCATTGGTAGGTGCCCTGGAGGGCCCCCTGTTATCGCCTCGATCTCGCCAGGCACTTCCTCCTCCACGGCCATAGTACATACCAGGGTTCCCATATCCACGTCCACCACCACGGGGAGGATACCCTCCATAGAACTGTTGTTGTTGGTAAAAACCATCTGGTAAAGAACATGTAAACAAACGAATTTATCACTCAACAGGAGGCACAGTGGTCTAATGGTCAAGTGGTCCAGGTTAGTGAACTGCCCAAGGTCATCAGGAATACATGGGTATTGGGGAACTGTTATGGCAAACTGACAAAATGTCGGGGCAGGGGGGGCAGTGGGTTGGAGAAGGGGGTAATCTGTGATGATCTTTCATTCCGTCCAGGGCAAAAACAGCACTCTCAGTTTGTTCACACTGCAGAAACAATGATAATGTCTGGCAGGTTTACCTTACATTACCAATATGTCAGAAACTAGTTTCTTTGCAAGCAAACAAATCAGTGAAATGACTTCTATCAAGATTTCACTTATATACATATTCTCACTATCATTTCCTCAATGCTTGTTATCACACAGGTATATGTACAAGGCTTTTTTGAATTGCAGAAAGCACACAAACCTCTGTAAGGATCCCTGGGCTGGAAGTCCCGTGGTCCTGGGTTGAAGGCTTGCTCTTGGAAGCCTCCTCGGTTTGGAGGAGGACCTGATCTGTTACGAAGGTGAGGCGGCACGTATCGTTCTACACACAAAAACCACCAAGTTGTAACAAATAATAGAGCAAACAGGAGCAGTTATTTTAGCATTTAGGAAAATACATTTCAAACATGTATGGTTAAACATCTGTGAGACATTGTGAAGAAACAGTCTGAATAATGTTTCAATACATAAGTCTGAACAGAACTTCGCTTTACATAGGTACGCCATTGTTTTACAACAAAATTTGCTGTCATGATAAGTACCTTGGAAACAAAGTAACAAACCTTGCACAAAACTATATAATACAGCCAAACCTTGTTTATAATGCAACCACCTTCTTGACCAAGATATTGTTGTCCTATCAAAATTGTGGTCTTAAAGGAAAATGACCAATCTTTTTCTTCTGGCCAAAAAAAGTGGCCATAATAACATGGTTGTTTTAATCGCAGGGTTAGTGGGATGGTTGTACTGGATAGTTTCAATAATTATTTAAAAGCATAATTAGCAATTGATATAATCTCTGTACATTAAATCAGTTCTCTTTCCTCTGGTATCTTGCAAATATGACCAAGAACTCGAACATTGAGAAATTGCTAGGCGGGTCAACTAGTCCTTGTATATATCCAATACATGACTGACAATGATTTCCATTGTTTAACTACGATGAGTCAATTATTATAGTTCAACTCAACCAGACGGAAACAAATATATTCTTTTGTGTTACAGTGGTTCTCTTTAAAACCTTCTCCGATTTTTTTTCTTATGCAACACTTTGCTTTTGTTTGAAAAATGACTTCCATGGAACTTAAACTTGTGTTTCCGATGAAAAACGTATAGTTACCGATCAACCCAATCGATAAAATAAGACTTGTATCATATTCACTGAGAAATTTTGACAATCTTTGAATTTTATGCCAGGTATCCTGAAAGACTTGCTATTTAGCTTGTCAAGTTAGAAGTGTACTTAAAAGAATATGTCTAGACTCTGTGATTGGGAGATTCACTGCTGTAGTTTGAAACCGGCCTCAAATATATCGCTCCTAAGCATATAAGCTTGTACTAAGACAAAGAAAGATTAGCTAAAAGGTAGGCGAAAACCAAAAGGAGAAAAAAAATGTAAGTAATAAGCTTGGAAAATAGCTCACAAGTTCAGAGAAAAACGTAACCCCAAAACTATTGTCACAGTCAAACGTCTATCGGTAAACCATTCTGGAAAATTGCAAGATAGAGTAATGACCTTCATTAAAATATAAAGACCACAGCGCGAAAAAAAATACTTCATTGCAAGTAATCCAAGCCGGCCGCCGTGGCGACAGCGAAAAATATCTGAAGAGAGCATCATCGTTCCTGTGTATGTGTATTGTTCTTCGCTGAATGGTGAATACAATTTACTACTTTCTACCACTTATTTCCTTTTCGATTACGTGGCTCAATACCTATTAAGTTCCCTGTAAAGAGCAAATATAAATTTTACTTCAGCTTACCTTGATGAGACTTTGGATCGACGCCGCGTTGATTTACGGGGACGGCGCCCGAATTCAAGTCCAGACCAGCGAACTACGACGAAATACAACATATAGGTTACATTTGAAACATCAACGGTACCTAACATTTACAAAGGAAACTCCAAGGTAAAATTTCTGGACGCCGGAATTAGGAAAAATTTAGGAAATATGAAGACGCCATTTGCGTTTTTGCCATGTGCCTTTGTCTATCAAACCACGACTAGATCCCAAATCTTTAACTTACCCGCTGGTCTAGAGCTTGAAAGTTTGCTGGGGACACATGACTCATAACGGAAGAAACAGTGGATTCAAGCTTTCGAATGAAATATTTGAAATGATTGATGAAAATTGGGGAAAAAGCGAACGACAATTGAACTCTTTGCACTCAAAGAGTTTTTCTGTTCAGATGTCAGTCGACAGCCGGCCGAGTAACCGCACCAACGTGACGTCACGTACTAAGCACGTGGCTTTCACACCCACGTGGAGGGTGGGGGCGGGGGAAATTAAAAAAAAACCAAAATAATAATAATAAAGCCTTCCCTTGGGGACCCCTGGGTCATTTTATGCCCTTCGAGGCCTTTCCACAAATAACGTATCTCGTAAAATCGCTTAAAATATCTTTCCAGGAATTCTGAAAAAAAAAAAAAAAAATCCAAATATCACAAAATATCTCGAATACACAAAATGTTTCGAAAATCCCTCTAAATATCTCTGTTGAAAAAAAAAGAAAAAGCGATTTTGAAACGTAAACACTTAGAATTTTCAAACGCTTCTCGCATTGCAATTGCACTGAGTAGGAGCTGAGGAAGAAAATTCCATCACTTTGATGCTACCAGCATCTTTATTTTGGAAAATTACTGCTTTAGCGCTGTTAGTGATATGGAATACATTTTTCAAGTAGGGATTCGCTGAACTGGATTATTTCTGGCATAGAACTGAGGCACCGTCCACAAGTATCCAGATATTTTTGAATCCGCAACTTTTTCCTTCCGGATTCAAAAATTTCCCCGTCCACACGTAGCAAAAATATCCGTATTCGCTGCCGAATTCGCCGGATGCGTGTGGATGGGGAAATTTTTGAATCCGGAAAAAAAAAAGTTGCGGATTCAAAAATATCCGGATACCTGTGGACGAGGCCTGAGTGTGGCAGGGGCGTAGCTAGGGGCTTAACTAGAATTTCTGTAAATATTTTTTTTTCAGTTTAGTAGCCGAAAGGCCATATATTTTTCAGTTTTACTATTCAACAGCGAATCAACGCTGTGTCAACGTTTTATTTTCAAAAACAAAATAATAACTTTCAATCTTATACATGAAAAAATGCTGAAAGGTTATTAACAAAGCAGAACTTTGAAATAGTTTTGCGCACGAAAATTTAGTTGACTGTTGTTGTTGTTGTTTTTTTTTGGACTTTGGCAAAGTTTGATATACGACTTACGCTGTACAATTTGGGCTTAAATGGAAAAAAATGGCTCGCTACGCCCCTGTATAATGGGTTTCAAGAAAATAGCGAGGAAAAAACAGCGGTTAAGTCAAAAAAACTATAAATATTTCTAAATGTCCCTAAATTTTCTAAATATCTTAATATTTTCTAAGTATTTCAGAAAATACTTAATATCGCCCAAAAAATATCCCGATATTTATGGAAAGGCCTAGCCCGCCCGGTTAGCTCAGCTATGCCGGAGGTCGAGGGTTCAAGCCCTACACCGGACCAACACACAGGGTCTTGAAAAATAACTGAGGAGAATGTGCTGCCTTTGTAATTACGTCTGCAAATGGTTAAACGTTCAAGCCTTCTCGGATAAAGGCTATAAATCGTAGGCCCCGTCTCCTGCATCTTCAGTGTTACATGGCTAAACAGGGGATGTTAAAGAAACCACGCACTTATCGCAAAGAGTAGAGTTCCCGGTGTTGCGGTCTGGCCTTATCTCACGGGTTGGTGTTTCCCGTGGTGTTAACCTCATTGCGCCTTGCCCCCTTGGGCAGAATAGTCCAGGAAAAATTGCTATGAGGCCCTTCTGTGCCATTTTTCAGTCACACCATCAAAGAACAGTACTTTGACATCATAGGGGTCCAGGTTGTCGCGCTCCTTGCATGACACGACATTTTGCACCAATGAAGATTTTTTAGATATTCTCTAAGGCCCTGATTACAAGCAGGAAAGATAACCCAGCGCTAGGGTTAATCACCCTAGAAAGAGGGTCAAAGATTTTACAAGCAAAATTTGACAGGTAGGGCTACCCTACCAGCCGGGAAAATTTATGTGAACAAACTGGCCGACAATGGAAGGGTGTTGCTAGAGAGCTCGATTGTCCGGTCTGTGATGCATCTTATTACTTCTTTGACTTCTTTCCACGGTTTCCAGAGTGAGAGAATGCTGTCATGTTACCTTCTTATTGCTGGACAACGATAGCAAGTTGTAACTGCAAAGCTTAACACGACCCTGCACTGACAACTCAGCAATCGTTCGATTGTGGCATGTGAAAAAAAAAATCGATTCCACGTCGAAGATTAAGAAGAAACTTGGTCATACAGATCAGTGGTGTAGCAACTTGTTCGTGTGAGTGGTCATTTTGACTGAATCTAACGTCCTATACGTTTGCCATAATAACATCAAAAATAAACAGGCACTTTATGTCACCCTTCTTATTGCAAAATTCCATATCTTCTCGACAAGTTCATGTGATGGCAACTTATGTTTTGAAGGCTTTCTTCTCCACCCCCAAGACAAACTTGATATTTTAATGCAAAGTTATGCCGCACAAAGAAAGCTGCATAAATTCTTGAATATCTGGGGAAAATTACTGTAAATGTCACTCCGCTTCGTCCTTTTCTTTTAACCTTCTTTTATTGTAACTCTTTTCTTTAAGCCAGCCGTAGT